GTGCTAGGTATTCTGTGGGAGAGCGCTCAGTCTGGGCTTTTAAAGCTAGTTCAGTCAGTGTTAAGAGTGTGGGAGACTGAAGCTCAGAGTTGAAGGTTTTCACTAGAGATGTGGAAGGGGGGTTGCCAAACCAGTACATTATTTTAAGGAAATAGAGTGACTTTGTGTGTGGTTTTGGTTTTGTGGGGTTTTTTTTTGTTTGTTTGTTTCTTTTGTTTGTTTTTAATTGGCAGATCTGGATTCAAGCCTCTGCCTTAGGTTAAACAGAAAGGATTTTAGGAAGAAACTTTCCACTCTGAGGGTCGTGAGACACTGGAACAGGTTGCCCAGAGAAGTTGTGGAGGCCCTGACCCTGGAAGTGTTCAAGGCCAGGTTGGATGGGGCTTTGAGCAACCAGGTCTAGTGGAAGGTGTCCCTGCCCATGGGACCTTAAAGGGATCTTTAAGGTCCCTTCCAACCTAAACCATTCTATGGTTCTATGATTTGAAAATAGGTCTTCTAGATGGCAGATAAAGCCTGCCTTTTCCTGCTCCTAGTCTTGACACTTCCTGCTGGCTAGAAACTTCTTGCTTAGTTTATTGCCTTTTGTGAATGCCATTCTGAAAGCCCAAACTTTTCCCATGCTTGAAAGTCAAAATCTGACGGAGCATGTCAAAAGTGTTTGTAGCATGGAGTGCACTATATTCTGCAGGTCCATGAGGATTAGACATCTATGAATGGTTGCCCATCCCAGTGGTACTGGGATAATTGGCTCCGCACTCTGCAGTCAGTCCTTTTCCGAACTCAAAGAATTTAGCACAGGGCATGCTGTACCACCTTTATCCTTTTTGTAGATTTAACCCAAAATATTCATTTACAGTTAGCTCTTCCCTTCTCTTAAGGGAAGTTGGAGCATTATCTTCCTGGAGATGTACACTGTAGTCCTTTTTTGTAGCTAATTATGTGCCTACAGGATAGGGGAAGCAGGCTTATTCTGTTGGAGGTTTACTTAAGTCTTGGATCTGATGCACACTCTGTCCCTTCTGAAACTGCGTTTCAATGGATAAATCTCCTTTTACCCTATGCTGTGTGACCTTAGTGAAATTCCGCTAATTCAACTCAATGAACAATATTTTTGATTGGAAAAAAATACATTATTCAGTTTCATTCCTTTTATGCTAGTAAGCTATGGCCAGAAATTACCTTTACATAGTGATATTCCTTGTGCAAATGCTTTTGGACCAGATTGTGCTTTGCCCTGCTCCCCATACTTAAGTCATCCCAAAAATCTATTTTTGAGTGTAAAATTTCAGTTGTCTTGTGTTGTTGGTTGGTTTGTAGTATAGTGTGGCAAATTATAAGAGCAGATTTCCATATTTCAAGGAAGTGGTAGCTGCTTGGCTAATAAAGAAAAGGGTAAAAGGATGCAATGGCAGCTTGCATCCTCTGCTTGTGTTTTGGGAGAAATAACTGACATAGATGTTGGACTCTAAGCAGAAGTTCAGGGTTGCTGTATTGGGTTCATGTGGCAAGGTTTTGCTAGCGGGTGGGGGGGCTACAGGGGTGGCTTCTGTGAGAAGATGCCAGAAGCTGCCACCATGTCCGATAGAGCCAGTGCCAGCTGGCTCCAAGACGGACCTGCTGCTGGCCAAAGCCGAGCCAATTACCGATGGTGGTAGTGTCTCTGTGATAACATATTTAAGCTGCTGTTCCTGGTGAAGGTTCATAGAAGAAATTGACTGAAATGAGTATGCAAAGACAGATGTTCTCCTCAGTAGGAGTTCATTTGCCCTGAACAGAACAGTGTCTGTTTGGCAGTTACGTGCCTAGGACACAATGCTGGTAAGAAGGTGTGCATATACTCTTATGAAACCGTAGTGTTGTCACAAACAGTTTTTAGCTCTTAGTTCTGTCTAATACTGGTCTGGGGTCACTTACTTCAAAAGTAGGTCATTCTGCAGTCAATCAGAATTCTTGCAGTGTTGATAATCTGTCAGGGCAGTGCTTAAGAGTGATGGAGAAGTAGACTTATTAAGCACATTGAGAGTAAGGTACACAAATAGAGGTACTGAAACTGCAGTTTACCCAAACCCAGGCAAATTAACAAAAAATTTTAGTAAGAGTATTCAATATAGCACCAAAAAGGTACACTGTGCTTTGTGTTGCCTTTAAGGAACATGCCAAAAAACTTTCAAACTAGAAAAACTAATGTAAAAAGCTTTCTTGTTCATCAGAGCTTACTCTTTGCTGTTTAGAGAAGCCATTCTGAAGGACCCACAGCTTTTGTACATGTTTGGTCTTCCAGGCAGATTAAGCGTTTTTCCCTTACCCATTAGTTCTCTTTCAGCTTCTGGGGTTTGAGCTTTGTTCAAAGAAACACACTTAAGTAAGACAAGGTGCTTTCAGGAAAAGCATTCAGTCCAGAACTCTTACCAGCATATCCAACTGACAACATATTAGTCAACTGCTAAATTCCGTTTCTTGAAAAAGTAACACAGAATTTAGATCAATAGTAATTGCGTGAATTGGGCTCTACAAATCGACCCCGGGCAAATTGAGAAAGATTTGGAATCAGCTCTTAATTCTGTCTTAGGCTCAAAGATAAACAAGGAGTAATACTTGATAAAATTACAAATAAATTGCATCACAGAAAAAAGATGGGTGATGTTGAAGGGTCATTTACTCCATCTTTTCTTTCAGTACAGATTGTTATGCTATAATGGCTTATTTCAAATATAAGGTGCCTCTAAAGTATTTATTGGTCCCTCGCATTCCTTACATAGCTAAACTTTCTTAGCCTGAATTGTTCAGATTAAGTTCTGTATATTAGCTATTACACTATTATGCTTACATTAAATGGGCTTTATTTTTTTCCTTTCTGTAACTGAGGTGAACTGGAAATGTTTCTATTTTGCCTAAATATGGAACACATGTTTCAGAACATCCTTTATTTGATGCATCTTGCAGTTAGAGAAAGGCCACTTTACATAAAGGGAACCTTAGCAAGCCAACAATAGTAATAGAGCCATAATCAAATGAAAGTGTGGAATGGACACAGTGCTAATGCATATAAAGAGAGTACTGAAAAACTTCTAGGCTTCCAGCTTTGCTGACTCTAGTATGGAACGTGCTTCTTTATACTCTTCAGCTTCTTCCAATTCTTTTTCATTTTCCTGGAAATAAAAATAAGACTTTTGAATACTTTGAAAATAATGGACATAGGATTAAATTTAAGAAGGAAACTATGAAACAAGGGATATATCATTATTGAAAACACTAGTTTTACATAATTCAAAGCACAGGTAATTCCTTTTGTCCTGCTTAAAGTCCAGGATAATGGCTGTCACATGGGAATAGATTTGACCTATGCATACCTTTATTTTGTTAAATAAATATTTAAAACCAAGGACAGCATAACTGGAACCAATAACAACAGAACTCAGTACAAGAGTACCATTAGGAAAAAGCTTAAGCAGAGATTGACAACTTAAAAAACCATACTACTACACAGTTGATTTTAACATTGAAGGTGAGCTAAGAACAGAAAGCAACCTTTAAAGACTTCCAAATTCTTAATAAGAATAGTAACTCCCCACATTCCTCATTTTAACTTTGTGCAGCACAGTGTATGGGTCAATACCATCACTTCTGCATGCTGCTGAAATCTAGACCATCTAACTGTCAAGTAACTAGTTGAATGACAAAAGGACCCTAAATCCTGACAGGTACTGAGCATTTATTTTTGGAAACCAGTAGAGGCATACCACCCGAGGACAGGACACCTTGAGTTTTCCTTTGAAAAGGGACTTGTATTTTAGCTATCAAATGTGTCTGAGGCTTAATTTATGGTAGCATTTACATGTGTAGCAGAGTTGTTGTTGAAAAATCAGCTTTTAAAATAAGTATGACTATCTCCAAACTTAGTACAGTTTCAGTGAATCTATTTGTACAAGATACTATTTATTCCATTTGTACAAGATACTATTTATTCCTGCAGGTATTCATATCTTAAAAATGTGGCACTAGTTCTCATCTTGCTAATAAATCATATAAGCAGTACACAGGACTCAGCTGTCTTGTTTCTTGTCCATAGCATAATAAAAGTATTTTGACTATTTCAGTTCACTATGAGCATATTATATACATCTACATGATCTAGAAAGACTACCCTAAAGCAAGTGAACTATTTTTTTCTGATCATGTAACTATCACAGGAATTCAGAGTCCAGTCTAACAGTTCAGTATTTAAGTGTATGTTGAGCATGTGCTCCCTTAAAGACAGCTTCTAATATTCTAACACACACACAGTTTTCATAGACTGAAGACCAAGCCTGCAGACAGTTATCCAAAATGAAATATTGGTATGTTATAGGATGCTAGTCTTGGGACCTATAAAAAGTAATTCTTCAATCCAATTCTAATATGCTGCAATTGCAGTAGAGACAAGCATGTTTATCCAAGTTCATCAAGGAACAACAGCATTTCTTGATCAGTGGATTTTGGTGCTATACTTACTAGTAGTTGAGTAAGATCTGCATGTGCAACTTCTAATCTGCGCTGGCAGTCTGGAATCATCATTCGTGACTCCTGTAAAATCTCAATCTGCGAAAATTAGATGCCAATGAAATGAGAATGTATTCCAGATAGGAATGTTATTTTTTAAGATAAGTCTTTATTCTGAAAATTCAGTAGTCCAATCATGATCTAGAAACTTAAGGACAGTGGTACCTATTTTCTGAATAGGCTATTTTATTAAAAGACACACTTAACATAATTACTTAAAACTCTATTAATTTACAGGACACTTCCATTTACTTTGTGCTTAATTAAATATAAAGTATTAAGTGCAAAAGAGTATTTAGAATATTTTTTTCCTCAGAAAAAGGTACTGCCTGGTAAGCTTTCCATATAGCATTTGTTAAAAAGGCTATTTAAAACAAACTTTCTCCTGCTGTCGTGAAGCAGCTTCATCCAAAATGGGATCAGCTGGTTATATAAATATCTCCTACATCTTTTGGGTAATAAAGAAAAACAGTGTTCAGATAATACCACATAGAGATAATTACTGCATGAAAAAAGTTATTGATCACGTTGTGTGCACACTGCAGGAAGTTCTGACTGAAAGAGAAAGGTAAAGAAAAATGAAAAGCAAAGACCAGCAGGCTCATATTTTTGATGCTTATCATGCATTAAAAGTTATTACTTGTGCTTCATTTTAGGAGAAAGATTATCCTCACCGTGCACTTGGAACAAAATTACTAAACTGGCACCCCACCGAATCTGAATATCCTGTTGCCTCCTACAGAAAAATTCATATTTATACAAGGGAACATTTATTTCATGGAACATTTCTGGATCTGAAATCCAACCACTGAGAAGAAAAGGTGCGCAGAGTTGTTCAATAATGTTAAATCTATTTACAAATGAAAATAGGTTAGGTATTTAAGTATGAATCCTCTTCTGCATTCAGGATTACCTGCAACAGAAGGCTTTCACTTTAAATGGCTTGCTTCATTCTGTCATTCCTATGTTGTATTCTTTCAGTATTAATGCTCCATGCTGAAGGGAACACTGTCATCACAAAAGGGAAGATAAGCTATGGCTAAGAATGTATTTATGCATACAGGAAGGCAGTACAACATTATCATCATTCTTAAGTGTCATATGCTTAAGTTCTTAGTTCAAGTCATTTTTGAGAGAAAGGGTTTAAAAACTTTTTCTAATTTATTTTCAGAGAATCTAGGGCAAAACCTGCCTACTTTGATGAAGCAAAGATGGTTGAGAAATGTTTAAAAAAAGTTAAGCACCCCCAAGTCCTAGTTCTCATCAGTATTATCACTTTCTTTTAAGCATTCAGCATTTGACTGTATTAAAAATAAGACTAGTCAGTCTGCATGTTACAGTTTCAGTAGTGAATGAATAAAGGTTTGTAACTTCTATAGAATGAGGTAAGCCATGAGATCATGCCTTCTGCTTTATGTACTACAACTTTCTTCTACAAAGAATACCTACAGGTGTGAGAATATCCAATAATGACTTCCTTGGGCTGGTGTTGCTAAATAGTTGTGTGTTGTAAAGCTGGTGGATGATATGGAAAGTAGTAACTTTTTTGATATATGCCACTCAATAAGCAATCTGGGAAGGCATATAAGCTGTAGTCCTGGCTGCTGTAAGAAAAGAACAAAGCTACCTTAACCACTCTGTTCAAAACAGAATTAGACTGAGATCCAAAGGGGTACCTGAGTTTTATTTACATTTGCCTGCAGTTATGCGATAATAAACAAAAGGAAGATAAATCCTGTAACTACATTCAGTAGGTACAAACAGTTGGAGATTGGAACAGGAATTTTGTGGAACCAAGATTATTAGTTGATTACTGAACTACCTATGCAAACTTTGATAACTTCTACATAAAACACTTTTTTTCCAAGATGGACCATTTACTGTTGCAAATGTATATAATAAAGCAAAGTCAAAAGCTCAAATAATTAGGTAAGCTTTAGGACTGGAATTTTTAAAAAGTGTCTGCTCTCCAAATTCTATCAGAATTTAAACAGCAGCGCTCTCCCCTCCCCCAACTCATTCTAGAAACTTTCTGACTAAATTCTAAGGAGTTTTAATTAAAAGCAGGTCACAGAGGAAGTTATTACATGAAACTGATCTAACTTTGCAAAGAACCATAAATATCTGCAAGGTTTCTGTGAATTACAATGCCAAATAGAAGTATTAAAAAACTGGAATACTTGAAGCACATCTAAATAAAGTGCTAAGACAAAAGTAATAAGGCACAACAGTATGTACAGAGAGAAGCAAACTGAATTTGTTGTCAGTAAGTGCACATAGGACCAGAAGAACTACTGTGACTAGTGAGGATGACATCCCTATTCCTTTTAGTGTACTGAAAAATCCAGTTAAACAAATCTCTTCAAAGAGCCACATTTCTGGTCAGTTGTCTTTCAGGATTGAAGGTATTTCTACGAAGGGAGCAGATGTCTGGCATCTTTCAAAAGAAAGCAGTCTGCTCAGATGTGATGGAGCTCTCTAACTGTTGGGGTATATATAGCCTATTTACTAAACATGATGAGGATTTTTTGTAAATTGGTTCAGATGTCAAAGAACTAGTGTGCGTAATGCACTATCAGTAGCCTTCAGTCTGTTTTCCATAAATTCCAGAGACAGATAAAGCAGAACTGGAAAGAGAAAAGCCAAATAGATGCAAACACACAGGTCCACATACCAATTGCTTAAGTGGAAGGGCACCATAACAAAACCCAGACAATTATTTTACACATTCAAAATAAGCACAAATGCCAAAAACAACTCTGAGAAACAGCTGAGGAGGTAATGCCTAAGGCTTTAAATATAAGCAACTATGATTTTAGCAGGTCCCACGATAAAAGTTCAAAGCCAGTTTTACAACTTATCTAGGCAGATCAGAGCTGCTCAGATGAGGCAGATTCTCTATTTTTTGGCTCACCCAAGCACTTGTACTAAAACAAATTTTTGATATTTTAAGAATACAAATAAATATTATTGCTTGAGTGTTGATACCAAGTATTCGGCAACAGGAAGCAATTTTGCTCAGCCTAAATGACATGTATTGTATAATGGGGACAACAGTTTTATCAGCTTCAAAAAGATGGAAGCAGAGTTTGATGGTGGGTGTTTTTTTTGGTTTTATTTTTGGTTTTTTTCAGCTGACCCACAACTTAACAAGAGATTTAGAGGTATGCAGACCCACAAATAATTTGAAAACAACAACAAGAAGAAAGTCTGCTCTGTCATTCCTCGATCCTAAGAAGGATATACTACTGGGTCACAGGGTATGGTGACAATATTGTTTTATATGATAGGACTGGTGTTCTAAACACAAAAGGTAGGCTAAGAAAAATTAGAAATGTGACTGTCCTGGTTTGAGGTAAAACAGGACCAATTTTGTTCAGTAACTTTGCTTCTTAGCTAGGCCTCTTCTAACTACTGAAATTAACAGCATATTGTGCAGTGTTCACTCTCTCAGAGTGATAAGACTTATGTTTATAGGTGATGCCCAGGCATGGTATGCAGAGAGGACCTTGCTTATACTTATTGCTATAACAACCAAGGACAGCTAACTTTGTTACTTGCCCCGTTGGAGGGTCGGAAGCGGAAAAGCATAGTGGGGTCCCGCCTGCAAGGAGGAGCGGTCAGGACAGGTGACCCAAAACTGACCAACGAGGGTATTCCATCCCATCTGCCTCATGCTCAGTATAAAAGCTGAGAGATCAGAGGGGTCAGCTTGCTCTCTCTTTCTTCAGTGGCCAACGTCTGAGGAGGACTCTGTCTGTTTGTCTGCCTGTGATCATTTTATTTTTATTTTATTATTAATATGTCATTAAAGTAGTTTAGTTTCTTCTAAACTCATAAGTCTTTCTTTCCCTCCTCTGCCTCTCTCTTTGAAGAGGGGTAGAGGGGAGCATCTGTCGGTCCCATCTGGGGTCCCTCATGTTCCCAGTAGCAGATTTGACCTAAACCACAACAGTGACTGAGTCATATATATATATGAATTATATACACACACATGAATATATATTCATGTTTTAAATACTGCCTCATAATCACTTGCCCTTTGTTGCACAACTGAAAACAGATAAGCACAACAGTATGGATCTACTCAAAGACAGTAGGGAAGAAAAGAAAAAGCATGCAAATAATTCATTTCGCTAAGAAAAGCGCTACTTGTTTGAACTACTTTTCATCAGAAAGTAAATAGTGATGCTAAGGCTACTGGTTGGCTAATCAACATATTTGTAACTTAAATCCACAGCATGGTATCACTTCCCACCTCACTGGAAATCAGGGAATATAAAGGCGCAAGGTGCTGGGCCAGTATGGTGGCAAGGGGGCACAGGCAGTAGGACAGCATAGGTGATGTAGAAGAAAACTGGGTATAGGGAAGGCAGGAGCTCACAGGTGATACAGCATTAAGGGGAATATAGAGGGGGGAAAAAAACCAAACACACACAAGAACTGTAGGAAACCAAGTTTTATTAGTTCTACTTCCTTTGAAGTAACTTGTTTTATTTTCACATCACAGGCCCAAAAGAAAGCTTGAGCTAGCCACAAATATAGGATACAACACACCGCAGGCTGTTGTGAGTTCTTTGCCAAATACATTTGATCAAAACGCTTCTGAAGGATCATGAATAAAAGCTTGCAGTAAAGAATTGGAGAACGTTGCTTTGTTTCTATAGTGCTTGAGTGTTTCAGGCACCGAAATGGTCATATATCAACCACAAACTGACTACCATTTGTAGCAAGAAAGCTGGAGAAGAAAACCCTCTAGATCTAAATGCCTCGGTATTTCAAACAAGCTTTCTCTGCAGCCCCTCTCAGGTGAGGGCCAATCCTGCTTCTTTTAAAGCAGATGACTTTAGGACATAAAATGCAGAAAGGCTCCTTTGGTCTTTTTGGAAAACATATTGTCACTGGCTGTTTCCCACTAGTGTACAACTGTAAGGTTTTCTTCATTGCCAGCAGTGGGGGATGGAGGGAGAACATCACATGAATTGAAGGTAAAAAATGGAGATACCGTTCAGAAGACAGAAGCAAAACTTGGTGTCCTCCACTGAAAAAGTTTTAATTAAATACTCTGTATCATAAAACACAGATACTGCTTCTTTAAAATTAACTTAAGAGGGTGACAATGGAATTATCCATTACAGAAAGTTGTCATTTAATCAGCAGACAGCACATTTCCTCCCAGCAACTCAAAATTCTACCGGAACAGATCCATATTGATGCAAATATAAAGCCTTGCCCTGTAAACAGGTGAGAGGTGGTAAACACCCGAATGAAGATTTTTCTTTGGGAGTAGCATGAAGAAAACATTGACTAAAGACAGACTTGCTTTCTCAACAAGAATGGCTCAACCTTGTTGGAACAAATAACCAAATTTTCTCTCTGATGAGGTTAAGCCTGGGGGGAGAAGTTTAGAGGGTTGGTTTTTGTTGTTGTTTTTTGTTTGCTTGTTAAGATAGCATACAGATTCTGAATGCATGCTTTGCTAAAAGGTAGCAGGCTGGTTAGGAGATGTTTTAGAATAAGTTTGAAGGTCTGGGAGGAATCCCCCATCTGTTGTGGAGGCAAAATACCTGAGGAAGTATTTGTGCTAAAATTGGAAGCAGAACAGACATGGGAAGTTTCCTAGATAAACAGAAGGCCGAAAAGTCAAGTCCAGATATTTCTCCTCCCTCTAGAGCAGAGAAAAAGTGAGCCCAACTACCAAAGAAATGAATTGTGTCCCATCTCAGTGGCAAGTCTTTTCTACCATAGGAATGTTGCCATACTAACTTATTCCAAATATTGCACAAATGCCTTTAATCTTCAGTATAAAATCTGGAATCCAAAAAGTATTTATACCTGCCTAGATAATAAAGAAAACAGCCTCTGGAAAACAGAAGGGGAAAAGGAAGATCACAGTAATGATTTTTCGTCATTTGGTCTCTTTCAGAAAGCATATTAGGCAATATAACTGAAGTTTGAAAGCATTTTTAATATCACCTGTATGTTATGAATATTATTCTGTATTTAGTACAGAGAATTACAAGTTGCTAGCTTTTAGGGAAACAAGTTGTGCTTGTTAAGGATACTGTCCAAATACATAAGGGGGGAGCATTAGACCCTTCATTAGCATTTCCACTGCCTCTTTACCTAAGCAGCTAGAGCTACAAAGTTCAGATTATTAAGCAAAGATCATATATTCTTAGGAAAAAAAAAACCAACCAACCTTATGAAAATAATCAGACTGCAGTGAAACTGTATGTTTCATCTAATCTTACTGTACTTGATCAGTGAGAAAATTGAAAATTTGTTTGAGCCAATAGGGTAAGGGGCGGAAAGAGTTAAAAAACCCAACTGAGCTGTGGTGGATTGACCTCGGCTGGATGCCAGGTGCCCACCAAGCTGCTCTAGTCATTCCCCCTCCTCAGCAAGGGGTGGGGCGAAAATAAAATGGAAAACACTCATGGGTCAAGATAAAGGCAGTTTAATAAAAGCAAAAACAAAGGCCACCCTCGGAAGCAAAGAAAAACACAAGATTTATTCTCTACTTCCCATCAGCAGGCGATGTCCAGCCACTTTCTGGGAAGCAGGGCTTCAGAACAGGTAGCAGTTGCTCCAGAAGACGAATGTGGTAATAACAATATTCACTAATATTTGGAGAAAAACTGCATATTAGCAAGACTGTATGTACTCTTTGGCATGCAGATATTAATTTTATGTTAAATCCATTGGATTTTTAATTCATCTGGAAATGACATTAAACGAGAAATAATTTGGAACTGTAGGATAACTATTTAAAAAAAAATTAAAAATATTATTTATCAGTAAAAATGCTGACAGTTAACAAAAACTCCAGAGAAGATCTACAATCCCACTGAGAGGAAATAAGTAGATACCTCAGGCTCTTCTCACACTCACAAGCCTCAAGATAAAAGCATGAGATGGGAAAGGATGTTATTTATGTATGGGACAAGTCAACAACCACAGAAATACAGAAAACTACTGGTTCCTACCATTAGTGTGCATTCATGAGCAACTACAGTGAAAAGTTTCTATTACAGATAAAGTATCATGAAGCCTTGTGTAAAGTCTTCATGTATCGAGAACCATTACAACTGTGTGAAAACTAAGGATTCATTACCAAAAAAAATCCACACGGAGGTACAACAGCATTATTTGCTGCTACCAGTCAGGTCTTCATGACCCTCTACAGAAACTATATGCAGAATTTACACTTGATAGAATACATTAAAAGTCTTTTAATACTTTTTTTCTAACTTGTAAAAACCTGTTTTTATTAAAATAGTTCAGTTTTTATTAAAATTGTTTTCAAATTAGTATTTTATTAAAATACTTAATAACCCTTTTTCCTAAAAGTCTTGTGGTTGAAGATAGTGTGATTTTGAGATATAAAATTTATGAAAATGTTTTCTTTCATAGTATTTTTTTCCCCCAAATACTGCTCTTCATTTATTATGTTTTTTTCTGCCAATAAGTTGTTATAAGCTTTCCCCTAAATTCTAAACTTCTCATCTGCCTTTTGTAGACAAAAAAAACAGATAGAGTGGGTTTTTTTGGTTAGGGGGGTTTTGGTGGGGTTGGGGGGGTTGTTTGTTGTTTTCATTTAGTTTTTTTTTGTTTGTTGGTGTGGAGGTTTCTCTTTTTTTTTTTTCTTCTCCCTTTTTTAAATAAGCTGTAAGTGATGGGAAAGGAAGGGCTTCCCTGCCCCATAATGCTAGCGATTCTTTCCCTGGGATATACTACCTACCAGAAATAGATCACACCCAGCTTGGATTCAGCTGAAGTACATGAGTTGAGACACAGCAAGTAATGCAAATACAATATGCACCCAGGACAATGGTAATATACAGGGTCTTCAAGTTATATTCTTGGTCAGAATATACCAGCACTGTGAGCAAACTGTCCTTTTTGTTTCTCAGCTACTGAATCTGCTCCTCATTAAATTAGTCTTTCTGGACAGTGCAGGTAAAGGCTAGTATCTAACAACTGCCAACTACCCTAGTTGGTCACTGCCTCAGCTAGAGATCACTTAAGTTCACAGGAACCACAAGGTGCCCAATTTTAGAAGGAGTTAGGAGAAAAATATTGAGTCAAACTATTGTTTGACCAGACATACCCTAAAGTCTACATATGCTTTAGGAATGGCATTATTAATTTTAAAGTAAATTTTTCCTTAGACACTTCTGTACTGTTAAACCATATGTTCTACTGGCAGAGCTATAACTAGAAAGCTAAATGAGAATAGTAGTACATTAAGATGTAAGCAATGCTTTTAAGCATCCCTCCCTCAACTCTGGATTGATTTGTATATACATATCTGATGCAGCTGATACCTCAGCTAAAATAAGTTAGATTTATTCTCCTAGTCTCAAATGACTGAATTCATTCCCATACCCCAAATGCTATTTTTAATTACTGAAATAAGGTCTATAACCATATTTTTTAAATAGCTCTTCAGATTAGGAATTATTAACTAAAAGCAATTTTTAAAAATGTGTAAGTACAGATATTTTTCCTGAAGAACTTCTCAAAGTATTAACTCTATCCAAAATGGTTTTTTTTGAGCAAGCTCTCCTGGTATTATATAATTTTCTTTAGCGTAAGAAATTTGATCCTATGAAAAGCATGCACATTCTTTTTGAGAATCCAAGTTCTTTATAACCTAAAATATTAATGACTTCCAGAATGCAGAGTGCTCTAAAACAACAATAAGTGAAGATGTCATTGGAGGAATTGATTGCTTTCAAAAGTGGATCAGGCAAAAGTGGATCAAGACTATTCTCTTTGAAGGCTTTTGTCACTGGTCTCTGAAAATACCTTCAAGTAGTGTGTAACATTTCATTTCACAGCAGAAGTTCACAGCCTCCGCTGTTTTTGACTTTGATGATATCTTGCAGGTCACTGCAGAAATACCACAGTGCAGTCAAATAATCTGATGAATGGGGGACACTAAAAACAGGAATTGCATTCATTAGCTCTTGTTAGCATCAGCAGATCTTCAGAAATACTATTTCTGTAGGATCCTGGAGTCTCAGTCTGTGGTGAGGCAGAAGACAGCTCAGCTCTATAAATACAACTCTTTATTTGCATACAAATTCTTTATTTGTATTTCTTTCTCATGGCATAATGAAAGCAAGGCAGGACGTGCACACATGAACTGAAATCTGAACTGATTTAAAAAGTTGTTTTAGTTTGTTCTAAAAGGGCTTTCTTCTAGCTTGTTTTCATTTATTTTTATATTAGGATTTGTTTAACCTATTCTTCCATTGTTTGACAATGAAGATGGGAGAACAGTAGGTTTTATAACACGAAGTCACCAGACTATTGAAACAAGTGGAAAATAATTTTAATTTACAGTTTCAGTTTCTGTGAAGATTTAAGAGAAAACATCTGGGAAATGCTTGGGAAAACATAGTTAAAAGATAACATATTTAGCAGAAAGAACATAAAGGCCACAGTTAAAGACAGACATGCCACACTTGGGTAAAGAATATAAACAAATCTCCCAAACCCAAGCCTTCTCTCAGTGACAAGGAAACTTGACACTCCTCCTTCCAAAAGGGCACATACCAACTGTCTTTTATGGGGAACCTTCCAAGAAAAATTTAATCATATTGTAATAGTGACTCTAAACCATACCCATTGTTAGTGAGTGATAGCCATCCTGACACCAAATGCTAAACAATCCATACCCAGTCTCCTTATAATTTAACAGTTGTGGAACAAAGGAAGTTTCTACAAATGCATATTATGACTTTTATAATTGACAGGATTTTAGTCCAGTACTTACATAACAGGAGTCTGGAAAAAAGTACAGGAGATTCTTTTATTTAAGAATGACTATGATTAAATTAGAGCAAAGAAGGATTTTATAGAATGAGTTTTAGGATAGTTTACCTGCTTCTTAATTCCATAATCATCACATGCTTCAGCTTTCATTTTTTCAATCTTTTCTTCCTGCTGTTTTGCTTCTTTTTCATACATAACTTTTTCTTTTGCCAATCTGCAATTAAACCAAGTGACTGTGTTAATCTGGTTCTATTATGGTAAAAAGTTATGCCATTGAAAACAAAAATACCCCTGAAAGCTGCAGCCCTATAAGATAATACACAGTTTTATTTAAAAAAAAAAAAAAAAAAAAAAAAAAAAACCAAACACTCTTAACCACTGCAAAAAAAATGCATCTAGGAAATACTGAGTTTAGCTATAATGTATAATAATTCTTATAAGAATTTAAATTAAAAATATTTTTTAAAGATTCTGTGTGGGCTTATCCATATAGAATATCCTAAAAAAAGCTATATACTGGTACTTCATTTCAAATACATAATAGAAACAGATAAGAAGCTGCCTTGTAGATCTGGATGACTGCTAATAAAGACAGTAGCACAGAGGAGAAAGCTATCTCTATCTCAAAAAAAAGCTCTCACATCATAGGTAGCCAAAACAAAGCTTCACTTTATATACCTACTATTCATCAGTTCCTAAATGGGCCAAGAAGAGTCTTCCTCTAAATTACATTTGCAAACCACTGCCTATAATTTTATAACATAAAAAGCGTCTGTAAGGATGAACTGTTCTGAAAGCAATCAGTACTTCCTTAAACCACCTACAAATGCTGAAAAGTCTTGAACCTTTTCAGTCCAGTTTTGCTCAAGAAGTCTACAAAAGATCCAGCATTCAAGGTGCAGCACGGATCTGTTATTTTTATTCTCTACATGCACTCAATATGCATAAAGAGAACAAGTCAAACATTCCTATTAAAGTAATTTCTTTGGGGAATCTGCAGCGAGACAACCCCAACCAGCTAGAAGGTACAGGACCATTCCCGCACAAGCTGTTTCATTTCTTTCTTCCCCAGAGCTCCACCTATAAAAAAGCTTTCTACTTAAGTCACGCTTTAGGGCAGTGGGGAATGAAAACAACTATATTTTTAACTTTAAGTCTTTAGGTATTTACCTTTCTTTAAAAAAAATTATGGAAAAGCAATTAGAAGTTCCTTAATTAACTTCATTTCCATCTTAGAAAGGCAGGCATTAAGGTATTAGTGGCAAATATTAAATTTCCCCAATCAAACAATGAATTTTTTTCTTTTAATAAAACTTTTTAATAGGTACAAAAATACAGATATCTATAATGTAAGCATTAATGAAATGAAGTCTTACAGCAAAACAGTGAGAATTATTTTTTCCATTGTATTGAATCTGTAAGATAACTTAACTTTAACCTGATTTCAGAATAGGCATAGGAAACATAAGAGGCCACACTTATATCTACCTGAAACCTTCTGAAGCTGACTGTAGCTTACTTTGATTAAATTGAGAAAAAGATTTTGAAAAATAAAATTCTTTTGAGCACATAAAATAGGGTACACCTTGCCATTTAGGTACATTTTGAGTTTTAAATACTGCCTTAAGTGTAATGACTTATACTAACTATATTTGGACAGTGATCAAATCCTAGAGGCTGAAGTAACAAAATGAGTCAAGGGTTTTTTAATCTCCGAAACAATCTCACATGGCTTCTGACAAAGTGCACTGTGTATATTTTGCACAGAAAGTAAACTTGCCACGCTAAATATATATATATATATATATAAACTGAATATCGTTATGCTTTAGAAGCTTTATAAAGAAAAACTGGGGAGGTTTCCCTTTGAAAGATTTGCCACTACAGTCTGTTTTAAACACAAATATTTATGATGTATTTTTCCTGATAGTTATTAATTTTTCCAGGATACTGCAGGGTACAGATTAGCACCAATGCAAATTCATACTGAAACTAATTTGTCACTGATGACTGTCATTAATGTCAATATGATGACTTGTACTAGCACTCATATCACCAAGAATTCACTTTTTCTTCCACATGTAAGTGTATTTACTAAAACCAAAGACCTCCAACCTAACTTTCCTTAAGATAAAGCTAACAGTAGTCTGTGTATAGGAAGAGATGCATGCCCACTTTAAAATACTCACATGCTTTCCTCTCATAGGGATGCAGCAGTGTTTAAAAAAAAACAAATTACTTATTGTCCTGGTTTGAGGTAAAACAGAACCCATTTTCTGTTTTGTAATTTTACTTTGCAGCTAAGCCTCTTCTAACTAACTGAACTTTCTGAAATTAACAGCATATTGTGCAAAAACTGTTCTGAGTGATAAGACCTATGTTTATAGTTGATGCCAAGGCAAGATATGCAGAGAGGCTCTTGCTTATTGTGAAATGTGTTCACCTGATT